CATTTTGACCCAAAGCTGCTCTGTTTTGCTCCTCTCACAAAAAGCTTTGATCCATGTGATCCCATCTTGCAGGCCTTAGAGGAAGGTGACCTCTCCATCCTCCAGTGCCAAGAGTTTAATTAGCCTCAGTGCTAATTGTGTCTGTCCGCCAAGCCCATTTCATCCAACGCCAGCCTCAGGATCTTTGCCAAGAAATGCCAAAATTCCCTTGTGGCATTCATATTTTTTGAAAAACGTCTTTGCCCAGGATTTTTCTCCTGGGAAGCTGAGAAGCCTCAGAGAAAAAGGAAAACAATAATTATCTGATTTGCTTCTCCTGTGTTTTACTCCTTTAGAATGTGTTTAGAATTGTTTACCAACAACTGATTGTTTCATTGGTTTCATGTGAATTATTTTGACTCATTGGCCAATCAGGGCCAAGTTGTGTCAGGGCTCTGGAAGGAGTCACATGTTTTCCTTATTGTCTTTTTAGCCTTCTGTAAATATCCTTTCTGTATTCTTCAGTATAATTTAGTTTAATATTCTTTAATATAATATAGTATCATAAAATAATAAATTAGCCTCCTAAGAACATGGAGTCAGATTCATCGTTCCTTCCTGCCATGAGAGTCCCTGCAAATAGAAAATTCCTGATCTCTTCCTAGGGAAAAACTCTCTGCAGTGATGACACAGCCTTCAAATCATTCCTTTTCCTTGGCAGGACAGCAGCACCCATCCACTGGAGAACACTGAATTATTTGTGCCCAATAAATCCTTTGAATTGGGTTTTTTGGGCAACAAGCACCCAGCAGCATCTGTATGACTCTGCTTCTCCTTATTTAAAGCTGATTATTGCTTGAGAGTCTTGCCAGGAAAGGCTTTATGATACCTGTTTTATGGATATCAAACACACTGGAGCTGGAATTAACCATCACCACATTGTTTGCCATCACTTTGATGTGTCCTGTCCCCAGCACAAAAGTTTGGGTGCAAACGCCACATGGTGCAAATCAAAATTCTTGGAGAAACCTGGATGTGTGACGTGAGAAAACATCCCTACATCAACAATTACCCCGGAAAAAAACACCGCAAATATGAAACTTCTCCCAGAGTCATGCAAACAACACAAAAATCCTCAATATTTGCTGCTCTCCTATGTTTTTTATTTCACCTTTTACGCCCAGCATTGCCTTTCTCCCACTTTCTGTTACTTCTTTTTTCCAGCTGCAGTGTAACTCTGGCACAAGCAATAAATGGGACCAAATCCCAGCAGGTAAAATCTAGAAGGAAAAGTTATTTTAAGCCAGCAATAAATTATTCTTTGGCAATAAAATCAGATCTTTGCATTCAGCTGATGGGCTGATGGAGCAGTTTGCAAGGCAAATCCCCAGAATGGCATTCCTGATGCTGGGAGGAGGCTGGGATGCAGGAGAGGGATGGGTTTAGGGTGATGAGATTGTTTGCAGATGGGTTGAAGAAATTTCTGGTGAAGGTTGTGCTTGGAAATACCACACCAATGGGGTTGGTTTCCTCAGTTTCTCTTATCTGTGAGTTTACAATTTGCTTTCATTGTGCTCAAAGAAACCTGCAGCCTTGCTGTGATACCATGTGGGCTGGGCAAATAAATATTATTAAACATTGTGTATAATATATAATATATAGTATATAGTATATATTATATATTATATAGTATATAGTATATAGTATACAGTATATAGTATATAGTATGTATAATGTATAATATATAATGTATAATATATAATGTATAATATATAATATATAATATATAATATATAATATATAACATATAACATATAATATATAATATTGTTTCATGTGTTATGTATTATGTAATATGTAATATATAATACATAGTACATAATATAGAATATAAAATATAGAATATAGACTATAGAATACAGAATATAATCATGTTATATATTATATTATATTATATTATATTATATTATATTATATTATATTAATTGTCTACTATATATTGTATTACATCTCTAATATATTGTATACTATATATTATATATTACATATTACATGTTATATATTATACATTATAGATATTGTATGTTATATATTACATCTATTATTAAATATTCAATGCATTTAATATTCAATGGATAAATATATAAATATTTCAGCTCTTTTCAACTCTCAATCTTGTGCTTGAGTTACCATCAGCCCTATTGCAATGGTGGGGTTAAAACCAACCCGCAGCAAGGCTCAGAGCTGGCCATTGGATGTGCTTGCTGGGCTGTAAATTGCATTTATCCTTCAACTTCTGGCCAGAGATGTGGGATGTGGTGTGGTCCACCAGCAGGATCAACAGCTGGATGATTCGAGCTTCTCTGCAACTGGCTTCATGTTGCTGTTGCTGGCATCAAGAAACTATCAGGCAGTACAAAGACACAGAAATGAGAAATAAAAACCCAATCAATATGGGAAGAGGTTAACGAGGCTGTTGGAAAAGCTGTGGATAAGAGGTACAAGAGAAAAATAAGACAAGGAAAAGCATTATTGGCTGTTGAATAAAATATATCACTTCCAGATGAAAAGCCTAAGGATGCAAAAGAATGGCAGAGGGAGAAAGCTCCAGCGGAAAACAGGGTTATGAAGAAGAAATTTGGGGGTTTGGAAACTACAGAAATGGAAATAAATGGGAAAACCGAGAAAAACAAAGGGAGATTCCCAAACAACAGGAGCAAAGGTTTAATTTTTCACGGGCAGCAGGGGCAGGATCAGAGGGAGGGAAGAGGAGAGGGAAGAGAACAGCAGAGATGGACACAGCGAGGCGGGGACTGCAGAAGGGAAAAGCCCTGCCTTTGGGGTTGGTTAACACACGGAGCAGAGCAGGAAAGGAGGGAGTTTGCAATCAAACATACGCTTTTAATGTGCTGGCAGACGCTGCTGCTCCGTGCCAAGCACAGGCAGGTGTCACACACAGTTTGTGTTCTGCTTGCTGAAGCAGTCGGTGTCATGCTGGCGACTCCGGTTCCATCCCAGGCAAAGGAAGGCAGGTCGGTGCTGCACAGAGTAATTAACCGCTGCTTTATTCCTCCCCTTGGAAGAGGCGACAGAAAACGCCCCCTCAGGTGACATTTTCTGCAGCCAAAGCATTGCAGGCGTGAAGCAGTGGGGACGGAAAATATCAATGTTTAGGGGGTTTTGGGTTAACTGAGCCCGGAGTGCCTGGGGTTGGAACAGGATCGTCTTTAAAGTCCTTTCCAACCCAAATCATGATGTAATTCTGAGATTCTGTGATAAAGTCACTCATCAAACCACACCGGCCTGGGTCTGATGTGGGCAGGATGTGGTGGTGGAGGGACAGGATTTATAAACAGGCTGAAATAATTATTTTAAATGGAAATTCCTCGTCTTGATGTTAGAAAATGCTTGTAGCACTGACAAACCTCCCTAGTTCGGCTTGGCTGTCCCAGACCCCCAGCATGGCTGTTCCAAACCCGTGTCAGCGTTCCTGTATCAACAAAATCTGCCTGATTTTGGCCCTAAATACAATCGAGGGCGTGAACAGCTCAATTTTCAGGGTTGTGGGATGAAAGTGCGTTCAGAGCCGGGTGGCGCCGGCCAAGGCGAGGTGATGAAGCACCGATCGGCTGCACCGGGAGGGAGCAGAGGGAAATTCCCGTTCCACCGGGAGCAGCTCTGGGACGGGGTCCAAGGCTGCGGGACGGGGAGCGGCTGGAGCGGGGTCCTGGGGATCCCATGGGGGCAGGAGGGCCGGGATTGAATAGGGACCGGGTGAGCCGGGCTGGGATTCAATAGGGACCGGGTGAGCAGGGCTGGGGTTCAATAGGGACCGGGTGAGCCGGGCTGGGGTTCAATAGGGACCGGGTGAGCAGGGCTGGAGTTCAATAGGGACCGGGTGAACAGGGCTGGGGTTCAATAGGGACCGGGTGAGCAGGGCTGGAGTTCAATAGGGACCGGGTCAGTAGGGCCGGGGTTCAATAGGGACCGGGTCAGTAGGGCCGGGGTTCAATAGGGACCGGGTGAACAGGGCTGAGGTTCAATAGGGACCGGGTGAGCAGGGCTGGAGTTCAATAGGGACCGGGTCAGTAGGGCCGGGGTTCAATAGGGACCGGGTCAGTAGGGCCGGGGTTCAATAGGGACCGGGTGAGCAGGGCCGGGGTTCAATAGGGACCGGGTCAGTAGGGCCGGGGTTCAATAGGGACCGGGTGAGCAGGGCTGGGGTTCAATAGGGACCGGGTCAGTAGGGCCGGGGTTCAATAGGGACCGGGTGAACAGGGCTGGGGTTCAATAGGGACCGGGTCAGTAGGGCCGGGGTTCAATAGGGACGGGGTGAACAGGGCTGGGATTCAATAGGGACCGGGTGAGCAGAGCTGGGGTGCAATAGGGACCGGGTGAACAGGGCTGGGGTTCAATAGGGATCGGGTCAGTAGGGCCGGGGTTCAATAGGGACCGGGTCAGTAGGGCCGGGGTTCAATAGGGACCGGGTGAGCAGGGCTGGGGTTCAATAGGACTGCGGTGGGGATGGGGGCCGGGATGGGGGCTGGAATTGGAGGCAGGATCGGGATCGGGGCCGGGATCGGGATCGACATCGGGACCGGGACCAGCATCAGGATCGGGGCTGGGACTAGAACCAGGATCGGGATCGGGGCCGGGATGGGGATCAGGATCGGGATCGAGACCAGGACCAGCATCGGGATCGGGACTGGGACTAGAACCGAGGTCGGCATCGGGGCCGGGATGGGGGCTGGGATAGGGATAGGGATCGGGATCGGGATTTAGTACTTGCCCCCCCCCCCCCCCGGGCGCGCCCCCGCCTCCGGCAGCGCGCAGAAAGCCCCGCCCACCCCTCCACCGTCAGCCAATGGGAAGCGCGGAGATAGAGTCGGGGGGCGGGTAAAGCGGGGTCCGCGCCTCCTCCCTCCTCCCCTTAGCCAATAGACAGCGCGGGCGCCGCTGCGGGCAGCGCTGATTGGCCGGGGCGACGCGGTTGCTAGGCAGAAGCGGCGGCGCGGGGCGGCATGGCGGGCGCGCTGGGCGTGGGGCCGGGGGTGCTGGCGCTGCTGCTGCTCTGGGCCATGGCGCTGCTGCTCGTGATGGCGCTGGGCCGCGCCGGCCGCGCCCGGTGAGCGCGGGGACCGGGCGGGATCGGGCCTGATGTGCGCGGGCACCGGGCCCGGTGAGCCGTGGGAATGGGGTGGGACCGGCCTGGTGAGCCGGGGATGGGGCGGAACCGGGCCCGGTGAGCGCGGGGACGGGGCGGGGACGGTGAGCCGGGGAGACAGGGACAGATCGGGGTGGATGCGGGACCAGCCCGACGAGCACGGAGACGGGGATAGGACCGGGTCCGGTGAGCGCGGGGACGGGGCGGGTCCGGCCCGGTGATCGCGGGGTTCAGGCCGGTCCGGCCCGGTGATCGCGGCGCTCGGTCCCGCCGGTGCTGAGCTCTTCCCGCCGCTCCCGTCCCGCCGCAGGGTCGGCGCGGTGCCGGTGCTGCTCGGAGCCGCCGCGCTCACGGCCGCGCTGCTGCTGTTCCCCCGGGAGGGCGAGAGCCCGGGCCCCGCCGGCGCTGAGGAGGTGAGACCGGGCTGAGGGGAGGGCGGAACCCCGGCCGGGCCCGGGATTGCACCGGCTCCTGTCCCGAAGCCCCGGGGCTCGGCCTTTTCCGTGGGCATGGCCCCAGATGGGTCTCTGAGCCAGGGACGGCCCTGCGGCCATCCTGGAGCCCTGGGAATGGTTCCGTACCCCGGGGTTCCTCGCCCGGGGATGGGCTGCAGGATGGCCTGGGAATGGTTCCATATCCAGGGATGGGCTGCAGGATGCCTGGGAATGGTTCCTCATGTTGGGGATGGGCTGCAGGATGGCCTGGGAATGGTTCCATACCCCAGGGATGGGCTGCAGGATGCCCTGGGAATTGTTCCTCACCACAGGATGGGCTGCAGGATGGCCTGGGAATGGTTCCATATCCAGGGATGGGCTGCAGGATGCCCAGGGAATGGTTCCTCATTTCATGGATGGGCTGCAGGATGCTCTGGGAATGGTTCCATACCCCAGGGATGGGTTTCAGGATGTAGTGGGAATGGTTCCTCACCCAGGGATGGGCTGCAGGATGCTCTGGGAATGGTTCCTCATGTTGGGGATGGGCTGCAGGATGCTCTGGGAATGGTTCCATACCCCAGGGATGGGTTTCAGGATGTAGTGGGAATGGTTCCTCATCCCTAGGATGGGCTGCAGGATGCTCTGGGAATGGTTCCTCATGTTGGGGATGGGCTGCAGGATGCTCTGGGAATGGTTCCTCACCCAGAGATGGGTTTCAGGATGCCCTGAGGCCCCAAGAATTGCTTTTAGCTCAGATGGAGCCCCAGTACCACCCCCATGCCCCCACGATTGCCCCGTGCTGCTTCTGTGCTCTCCCTCTGGCACAGGCTGTGTCACTGCTGGAGCTGGGAAATGTTCATTTCTGTCACTAAATTGCTGATTTCCACCCTGGTCCACCTGACCCGTGGGGTTTGGCTCCCTCCTCCCATCCCAAGGGCTCTGTGCAGGGATTGCCCTCCTGCTTTGGCCCCCCCAGCTCCAGCAGCCTCTGCTCCCTCTCTGCCATTCCCTTCCCTTATCAGCTTTTTTTCCTTATCAGTTTTTCCCTCAGCTCTGATTTCTGGTTAAAGCCCAATTTCAGCTTTTCAGCTCTCTTGTAGGTTCTTGCCATGCTTGAGCACGGAGCCATCTGCCCTGTCAGGCCCAGGGATCTCCCCAGTTTTTGGATCAGGCTGTCTGAGCTGCCACCTTGAGCTCTCCCACAGCTCTTTGGCCTTTGAATACACAAAGTTTTGAGCCCTTTCAGGTGCTGTTTCCTCCCTTCTATTATTAATGCCTGTTAATTACTGCTTTTCTGGTTCTTGTTCTGTGTAAATCCCTACTAAAAGAGACTTGTAATGTTCTTTTCTTCTCTCAGTGTCACATCTGACCTGCTCCTGTGAAGGTTAGCAGTGAGATGAAGGGCAGCCCAGTGCCTGTTTGTTGCCTGGGAGGCAAATGGAATTGCAAAGCTTTATTTTTTCACGGATCTTCAATTGGACTGGACCTGCCCTGCCTATCAATAATACATGACCTGGGCTTTCTGCACCAAAACTCTGCTAATTGGCTAATTAAAAAGTGAAACGTGCAGAAGGAGCCGGCGCTGGGCTCACCAGAGACTCTCAGCAGGAGCAGCAGGGCTGAGCTAATGCGATGGATAAAGCTGAGCTGGGGCTGAGCAGAGCTCTGGGGGTCTGGGGAGCAGAGAGGGGGTTTCACAAACAGCTCCTTTCTGTGGGCTTCTCTTTGTCTTGCCTGGCTACCACAGCTTTATTTTTAATTGTTATTTTTCTCTTTTCTCGCCATCTCCCTGCTAAAAGGAGGGATTGTGGCTGGGGAGAATTGCTGCAGGGCTTGGCTGCTGCCTCTTGCCTGTGCTCAGGGCTCTGCTGCTCCACATTAACATTCCCAGCAGCTTTTTGCAGGGATCTCCTTCTCATTTGTCACACACTGTGCATCCCAGGCATGGAAAGCAAGGAGAGGAATCTGGGGGAGCCCCAGAGGTTCTTTTATCCTTTCAGGCTGTGTTGTGCTCCCTGCAGGCTCCTGGAGCAGGCTGGGGCCGTGAGCTGCTGGGATCTCTGTGTTTCTGTGCCCTGCAGGTTGTGGACACCTTCCTCATCGGGCGCTTCATCCTCCTGGCTGTGATGAGCCTGGTGTTCCTGGGGTGCCTGTTCCTGTTCCTCATCTACCACCTCATGGAGCCTGTGTATGCCAAGCCACTCCACAGCAGATAGAGACAGCAAAAAGGACATCCTGATACATGGGAATAAACCAGGAGCTGCTCTGGTGGTGACCCTGATGTTCTTAGAGCCAGCAAAGCAAGAGAAGCCTTTGCTTCATCTTAAAAAGCAAAGTTTGGTCTGAGCATGAGCTCTTTCCTCCCCAGGGGTTCAAGCCTGTGCACCTGCAAAGGTGTGAGAGCCTCTGAATGCTGCTCTCGTTTGCAGAGAGCTGAGATCCAGCACTTGGTGCTGCTCCTGGTTCAGTGCTGAACTGAGGTGGTTTGTTATTGTTACCCACAGGAGATGGGCAGAACAAACAAACAAACAAGTTACAAACAAGAGCAGTTTGTTACTGCTCCTTTTTCACTGTGATTTAATAAAACTCTTTGAGAAATCCCCGCCTCAGGCTGGATTTATTCCACAGGGCTGTCACATTTGGCCACGCTGTGGTGACAGTGCCCATGAGAGCTGCCTTTTTCTGGGTTTGAGAAAAAAACCCAAACAAACATCAGTGTGTGACTGTGGATTGTTTGGGATGGTCCCTTGGCCTGGAAACCAGAGGCTTTGGAGGGGGAGTGAATGCAGAGTGATCCCAAACAGCAAATGGAAAGCTGCCCTCCCAGGAGTGAGCAAAAAGATGTGTGTGCCCTCCCTGGTGCTGAGCAGGGCTGCCAGCCATGGGAAATGCTGATATCTGAGTGTTCCCTGCCTGTGGAGGCCCTGGGTGCTGCCAAAGGCTCACAGCTGCTGCCACCCTAAAACTTCAAACCTTTGCTCAATTCTAGCACAGATCCTGCTGGAGCTGCTGTCACCCTGTCCCTTCCCTGTCCCTCTTCTCCCCTCCTGGGGGAAAAAGCCCTCTCTGTGTTCTGCAGGGGCAGCAATGGGGTTGAATGCCATTTTTGTCCCTATTTTTGGGGGGAGCCAGGGCAGCAGTGCTGCTGAGGCAGAGTCTGTGGTGAGATGAAGCTGTGGGCAGCACGAGCTGTCTGACAGCCACTGCTGCTCTGTGCCCTCCATGGCAGCAGCTTGTTTTCCTGCATGAAACCTCAAAAGGCTTTTAAATTGCAGGACAAAAGCATTTTTGGTGGCCTGTGACCATTTTGTAGCAGGGAAGAAGCTTTTTTACCCTCCTTGCTGCACTGGGGAGAGGCTCCCACAGGGAAGGGCTGTGATGGTGTTCACAGGGGTCTTAGGATGGGGGAAGAGACGAGGATCTGACTCCATGTTTCACAAGGCTTGATTTATTATTTTATGATATATATTATATTAAAACTATACTAAAAGAATAGAAGAAAGGATTTCATCAGAAGGCTAGCTAAGAATGGAATAAGAAAGAATGATAACAAAGGTTTGTGGCTCAGCTCTCTGTCTGAGCCAGCTGACTGTGATTGGCCATTAATTAGAAACAACCCACATGAGACCAATCACAGATGCACCTGTTGCATTCCATAGCAGCAGATAATCATTGTTTACATTTTGTTCCTGAGGCCTCCCAGCTTCTCAGGAGGAAAAATACTAAGGAAAGGATTTTTCATAAAAGATGTCTGGGACAAAGGGGTGAGGTGGGCTCTGGTATTGTTCATGGGATGGAGCTGCTCAGCCTTGAGCTGGCAGCATGTGAGGTCAAGTGAGACAGCCCTGAGCAGTGATCAGGGTCAACACAGCCAAAAACTCGATGGCAGAAACTCAGATTTTTTTTCCCTAATTTTAAAGATTTTTTCTTTTTTTCATTTTGAGCTGATGACAGTAAATTAAAGAACCCACTGTCACTTTCCAGCCCTGTCTGACAGCTGTCAGTCACCAAGCAAAGCTTTCAGGACATGCAAGATTGATAAGGCAGAGACAGTGGGTGTGGAGGTGATGCTTCCCTGGCAGAAAATGCCCCAGCACCCCAGAGCACTGACTCAGTCAGCTGAAAAATGTGAGTACAGTCCCAAAAAAAGCAGAGAAGAGGCATCTCTGCTTTCCAAACTGCAGCCATGCTCAATCCCTTCCTGTCCTGAAGCCCATGACAAGGGAGTGTGTTGAGGAAATGCTGAGCATTTAATGCAGCACAAGCACATTGAGGTCTCCTGATGATTTTGATGTTACACCTGAAACTAAATTCATATTTAATTCATTGTGTTAATAACATGGAGTTTCCCTGGCAGCTCCAGCTCTGCTGTGCTGTTATCCCTGTGTTTGTGGGATGATTTGGGAGCCTCAGTGAGGCCACAGCTTCACCAGGGCTTCAGTCCAGCAAATGGGAGGGAAACCACAGCAAAAGCAGCTGGGGCATTAAAACCCAACCCTAACAGCAGAAATGTGAAACTTCTCCCCATTTTGTGCTGTAATTAAACCCAAATAAGGGCTTTTTCTGTCCTCTTAACTGTTTGTGACTAAAATGAGTTGAAAGGCTGATAGAGCAGCAGTTATTCTGGGGAGAGCAGAAAGCCATGCTGCAAGACAGACACAGCAGCTCCTGCCCAAGGAGGTCATTTCAGCATTTTCCCAAAAACCCCATTAACTGCAGAAAGCCTCACGTGCTCTCACCCCCACTGAGACATTCTGAGCTTCATCCTCATCCTCCACAGCCCCTGGCAGTGGGGAGCCACCAGCTGGATGAACTCAGCCCGGGCTCTGTGTATTTATTTATTCTGGGGAGTTCTGCTCCTCCCCACACTGGGGCTTTCCAAACGGTTCCTGTTTATTTTTGGAACAGGAAAGACCACGTCAAGGACTTGGTATGAGCCAGAGCTGCTTCCCAACCAGCCCCAAATGGGGATTTTTTTTGCTTCCATCCACATCACAAAGCTCAGACTCCTGGAGGATAATCCCTTCTAGCACATCTGCCTCCATCTAGCAGCCTGAGCCTTTATTTTGGAATTAACGCGCCACAGGAGGGCAGATTTGTGTGAAACCCCAACCTCTCAGTTGCAGGTGAGGATTTTGGGACTTCAGGGGATGTTTAAAGCCAAGGAGCCCTGCTCCAGCCCAAACTGATCCAGCCCTCCTCCTGCAGGATCAGATGATGAAGATTGCATGCAAGATGTTTTCAATCACCATCTGTATGGCAGATTACCTTTGTCAAGTGGGCAGTTTGCCTTATCTCTCTCTCTCTGAGTGACCACATTCACACCTTCCTCGGGAGGGGACATTGCTGATAACAGACTATTGAATGTCACTGCATGGCTGATAAGAACTACAGCATCCCATTGGGAGATGTGAGCCCAGAGGGAGGAGCCAAGCATTGCTACCCGGATATAATCTGGAGATTCTGGAACACCAGCACGGCTTCTCCACTGGATTCCCCAGAGGAACAGCAGCTGCCTCTTCCCCTGGATCTTCAGAGGAAGAGATTGCACCTTTCTACAGGACCCCTGCTCCAGCAGAACCAGCCCTGATACTGCAGGAGGGCTGAGCCACAATTCCAATGGGACTGCTGCCAACACCCTGACCCACAGGGTGTCAGGTTGGGTTCTGACTCTGGCAGTGTTGTTCTAGTGTATTGCATTGTTTATTTTATCTTTTTTTTTCCTTTTTCCCTATTAAAGAACTGTTATTTCTTGCTCCCATATTTTTGCCTGAGAGCCCCTTGATTTAAAATTCATAGCAATTCAGAGGGGTGGGGAGGGTTTACATCCTCCATTTCAGGGGAGGCTCCTGCCTTCCTTAGCAGACTCCTGTCTTTCCAAACCAAGACATTAGAGAACCAGAACTGCCATGTCCTAAGGTGCAGGCAGAAAATCATGCTGAATCTCAGCTCAAGAAAGCTGCTGTGCTGAAAGATCTGTGTGCCACGCTGAGGGCAGGCTGGCTGCTTTCAGGCCGGGGGGAAGAGCAGCCCTTTTTTCTCCCTAAATTCTCTGCCTGGCTCGTTATGAGCAGGGATGCCCCTGCACCAGGGATGCCCAGGCAGTGCCAGGCTCACCATCCTGAGGGAGGGCAGGGAGCAGTGCCAAAGCAGGGATGGAAGGAGCAGGAATGTCTGCAGGGGAAACTCCTCTCCTTGATTTAAGGCCCTTGAATGACGGCCATTCCTCATGTCTCACGCTGCTCTCTGCTGGCACTTAATTACCCTCACTGGAAAAACTGCCCTCACATTTCCACCTTGACTTTGCTGACTTCAGCTTCCCTGCTGCTGGATCCTGATTTGCCTTTGGCTGCTAATTAAAAAGCCCTTCAGCCTTTGCCAGCTGCTCCTTGCATAGGTAATTAGAGAGCGTGCCCCAGCCACCTCCTCACCTTCCCTGCAGACCAGCACCATTCCTCCAAAAAAATCTGAGCAGCCTCTTGCCCATCTGCCTCCTCCTGGGGGATGGCATTGCTGGGCTGAGGGACTGTGGGGGCACCCACACAAATACCCAAACACTGCATTTACCACACCCAAAGAGCCCCTTTGGGGTGAGATTTGTCCCATCACAGGACAGAGTCCTGTGTCCATGCTCTCAGGGCAGGGCCAAAGGGGCTCATGGCAGAGGAAAAGCAGCAGCCCCTTACCCAGCAGAGGAGGAACAAGGTGAGTTGTCCTCCAGATTCCTCCCAGAGCAGCTCAGCTCCATTTAAACCAATTTTTTTTGGCCAAGCCAAACCCAGGGGATCCCCTCTCTGCCTTCCCACTCACCCTTCAGTTCCAAAGCTCAGAGAGATCTGGAGTTTTCTTTGGCATTTGGCTCCTTTCATTTTAAGTTTGAAGCTGCCATGGGCTGTGTGCCCTTTCTCCTCGCTCCTGGCAGCTGAGCCAAGGCTGCTCAGACTTTCCAAACATAAATGGGACATGGCCCAGGCCTAAATTTGTCCCAGAAAGATTGTAAGCAGCTGAAAGGACAAGCAGGAGGGGGGAAAGCAAAAAAAAAAAAAAAAAAAAAAAAATAGAAGAAAGGAGGGGGGAAATCCCCAAACCAACTTGCTGTTCAATAAGCCCCCATGAGTGTCAGGACTTATAGGATGATTTTTTGCTTGAAGGGGTATAGAATGGTCATTAGGTCACTCAGCAGTGTGAAAGCTCCACCACACTGCACTGACAGGGCCATCCTCACCCAGCCCATGGATCCCTGCCAGCAGCAAT